CGTCATGGTGCAAGCTGGCTAGACTCCTAGAGACTGCGGTGAGGGGTGGCCTGACGGAGCCCTGGAGACAGAGCCAGAGTTAAAGGTTCTGCTTACTGGATGATTGAAGGAAGGGCTGACTGTTGTGAGACTGACCTTGCTGCGTCATTGAGGAGGCCAGAAGCTACTTGCATTTGTGTTGCTGGACTGAACCTGGACTTTCAAGTCTTTTATTTTATTTTAATGAAAGTTTTCAGAGACTTAGGGATTCCAGTCTTTCATTGTTGTACTTTTCTCCCTATCCACTCCCACCCCCAACAATTCACTCTGCTCCTTGAAAAGAAAAAGAAAAACCTCTTTCATTGTTATGCAATCCCTCCCCACCAAATCCACTCCACTGTGTAGCCTTCACTCTGGACTTCTGTAATGACAAGAATACCCATTCATATATCCCTTTTAAACAGTTTTCTGCCTCATCTGTTTCAATGCAGTATACATCATTGTTCCCCTTCTTTTCTGCCTTCCCTCAACCCCGATGTCAGTCCCATTTTACAACAGTGGCACTATGCAATATTTGTCCTTTTGTGACTGAGATATTCCACTCAGCATAATGTCCTCCAGGGTCACCCATTTTGTATAATATTTCATGAGTTCCTTGTTTTTCAATGCTGCATAGTATTTCATTGTGTGAATATACAAGAGCTTCTCCATCCATTCATTTGTTGATGGACATCTGGCTTGTTTCCAGCTCTTTGCTGTTGCAAAGCCACAGTAAACATGGGTGTGCATATATCTGCTTGGGTGGCAGTTATGGTTTCTTTAAGGTAAATTCCCAGTAGTGTAATTGCTGGATCAAATGTTATCTCTATTTGCAACTTTTTGAGAAAGTGCCATACTGCCTTCCATAGTGGTTACACCATTTTATACTCCCACCAACAGTGAGTAAGGGTTCCAGTTTCTCCACAACCTCGCCAGCATTTGATGTTTGCTGTTCTGTTAAATTTTGCTATTCTTACTGGTGTCAGATGATATCTCATACTTGTTGTCCACCCCTCTTTTTTTCCCACCCCTCTTTCTTAAGACATTATCTGAACTAACTGAAGAATTGTCTCTTGCTGTTAACCTGGCTTGGGATTGTTGTTCACTCAGTTTGGACTTTCACTGTGTGGTATATCCTTTGCCTTGTTTCCTTAACAAACCCAATGCCACAACCGTGAGTCATTGGCAACGCATACAGGACCCAGTGATTAGTGGAAGTAGGTGCAGGAGCTGGGGTGGGGGCACATTTCTGACCTTGTAGCTGTTTGGTCCTGTGGATGTTGTTGGTGGGGACTGTCACCTTGTAGAGTTAATTATGGTCACGCTCGTCCTTCCCCACCCTGCATGCACTTTCTGTACCCATGGCTGTGACTGACCTCGCTTGTTGTGCTTCTTGTGTGCATCTCCCTGGTGGAGAGTGATATTCAGCCTCTTTTCATGTTGTTTGGTGGCCATTTCATTGTCATCTTCTTTTGATGAACAAAAGTTACCAAAATTTTTTATGAAGTCCCATTTATTTATTTTGTGTCTTTATTATTATATTAGATACTCCTCTTTTTAAAGCCAGGTCTGATAGTGTTGCCTTTGTAAGGATTCTATTCAGTTTTCACATTTAGATCTTTAATCCACTTTTTAATATTTCTTTTTTTTAAAAAAAAATGTATACTGGTTTACTTACAAAGTTCATAAAGTGTTTCTGTGTATGGCTTGAGCACAGATCAAGCTTCATTTTTCTGCTTGTAGAAATCCACTTTCCCAACACTGTTTATGGAGGAGACTTCCTTCTTGCCCTTTCGAGAGGATTTCTGGCAGACAGGAATCAGCTGCTAGGATTCTTTCATAGCTGTGACAAGTGGGTCACTAATGCAAAAGCCTCCACCTCCGTGGCCAGAATGAACTTAATCAGCATCCTGCAATAAGCTTTACTTGAGTGCCTGCTGCCCACACCTTCCTGAACTCAGTAACCATCAGCATAATTGCCAGAAATAAAAAAAAGACCCAGGCCCTATCCCTTCCCTAACCCTGGCCGGAACCCGGCAGTGGGTTTGGAGGGAGCTTTTTCTGCCCCTTCAGGAGGCGTTCCTGTAGGGTCAGGGGCAGAGGTAACACGGCACCAAACCACTGCCAGCTGGCATCGAGTCCAGCTGCGTGCGACCCCCATGCTAGCTCTTAGCTCATTTGTACTCTGCCTGATAAGTAGTACTGCCCACTTTTACAGATAGCAGTGACGCTAACCTGGGGTATTTGCAGTATAATTCTCCAGCTCACTTGACTCCATTCTTCTCATTTATTTAGTGAATCCTAGAACTTGTGTGACACATGTCCAGGGTTTGCAGCAAACCTGGAAACACAAAAGCATAATCATTTCATTGTTCCTTTTCCACGCGTTTACATGCCAGAGTGAAGCAGAGCTGCTGTGGAGAACTTTGTCATTGTTGTCAGGTGCCATTGAATTGACTGTGATTCCTAGCGACCCTGGGAACAGCAGACTCGAACCTCGCACTGTCCTGTGCCATCCTCACAATCTCCACTAAGGGGTCTGGTTTTGGAGTAAGAGTCAGAAAACCAAAACCAGACCCACTGCCAGCGAGTCAGTTCTGACTCTGAAGCTCTGCTGGACAGAGTAGAGCTGCCCGTAGGATACCAAGGCTGGAAGGCTTTGCAGAAGTGGACAGACACCTCTTTCTCACGCAGGAGTCACAGAACTGAAGTAGACGTCACACGCAGGCCGAGTGATCATAATAGAAGCCTGTTTGTGGCATAACTTTTTACTCACATTTCTGATTTGCAGTTGCTATTTCTGCTAGGCTTGTTTAAAAACCTAACATCATGCTCAGAAGGGTGGAGGGACAGCTCAGGAGAGAAAGACCCCAGATGAGACAGACTGACAGTCACTGGGGCAATGGGGGTAGGTGTGTCAGGGTCAGGGAGACTGGCTCAGGACAGGGCAGGCTTCAGAGCTGTTGTGCATAGGGTCACTTTGAGTCATAGGCAATTCGACAGCACGTAACAACCACCACCACTACAACCACAAGACATTTTGTGTTAAAATGTTATTCCTAACATAGAAGAATTTGCCATCTGACAGGAGCAGGTGTCTTGCACGAGCAGTGACTTGCAAATCAGAGCTTGTGAGAATGCCATGATCCGTGTTCTCAGTCAGGCGCTTTTGTTCCCCAGGGATATTTGGCAAAGTCTGGAGATGCGCTCACTTGTCACAGCTTGTAGAGGAGACAGCACTGGCATTTGGTGGACAGAGGCCAGAGGTGCACGGGACAGTCTCCTAAACAAAGAAGCTGGTAAAGAAATGTCAGTGTTGCTGAGGTTGAGGTTCCATGTCAGAGACATGTGCAGAAGATCTGGCACAAACTGACTGACGAGTCTGGACTCAATCAGGAGGCGCTCCGGAAAATGCCTCCCACTTGGGCACCAGCCATCCTTGGGTTTTCAGAGTTGTTAGTGGGCCGTTTGGTGGCTTGTTTGTTTGTTTTCTTTCCTTCCAGCTTTTTATTTTAAAATCACTCCAGACTTAAAGAGTGGGTAGTTTTCAGTTCTATTTCCTTAGCCCTCTGGAAGCTTGTTAAGGGTTTGTTGGATGAGGTAAAAGAGAAGAAGAAAGGGACCCATGAGGAGCTGACCCGTTTAGGTTTTGATACCAGGTGACCGAGAAACAATTGAGACACCCCAGGTTGGAGGAGAGGCCAGGAAATGAGCGGCTTGTGTTCCGAGAAGCAGCCCAGGGCCCTCCGTGTCCCCTGAGCCTGTACTTCCGTTTGATTGGGTCGATTAGAGCCAGTGGAACTCAGGGAGAAACCTCCTCATCGGCTCGTCCTTGGCTATTGATGAGCCTGCTGTCCTAAGAGAGGTCATGTCCACCCTGACCTTTACCCGGGCTTTGAGAGTGACCGGGACATGCTAGGCCAGCGATGACTGAAGACACACCTGCACACACATACGCATCCTGATGGACAATATCAAGGCCTTGGAACATGACGGCCTTCCATGATGCTAATGACAAGTTGACTATTCATCAGCTTTGTAATGAATATGTTAACGCATAATTAAAAATAAAACAGGAAATGATGGCATTATGTTACAGTTTGTGGGTTTAGCATACTACGTCACAGCCTTCCATGCTCCAGCAGGATTGGTGGGTTGGTTAAAGCTGTGTGAAATGAAGCTGTCCCACCCCGAGGAGCCCCTGGTGGGAAGGCTGCTGCCTGAACACTCGGCGTTCTGAACTCCCCGGCTTCACAGGGCAAAGGCGCAGCAGATTTGCGCTGTCCTGGGGGTCACTCACTGCTGACCCGCTCACTCTGACTCATAGTCACCGTCCCGTGGGCTTCCCAGGCTTCAGATAGATGTTCATGAGAGAAAACCGTCTACCTTTGCCCAGTGGAGCCACTGGTGCATTTTAGCAGTGGAGACTCGGGACCGCTGGTCAGCATGTTGTCCTACACGCTATGGATGACACGTTTGGAGGGGGACATCATGTTTGGAAACATAAAGGGTAAAGGAGAGGAAGACCCTCAAAGAGAGATAGGCGCGTGACTGCAGGGATGGGCTGAAAGCACAGCGGAGCTGTGGGGTGCGGGGTTAACCGGGGCTTTGATCTGTTACGCACAAGGTCATCAAGAGCTCAATTGGCCCAGTGGCACCTAACCACAGTAAGGCCACTGTGAGTCGGAATTTAACCTGAGACAGTGGGTTGGCCGCCCCCCACCTACCTTCTGAAGGCACTAGGAAAATGCGTAAACTAAGATTTATCAAGTGTTTTGTATTTCTTAGATGAAAACTGTTTTATACCGTACTTGTCTTCGTTTGATTCTAACAGGCTTGAGTGATTTGATTGCTAGTTTTGGGGACGTCACTCAGTATTTGTAAGGGAGCTCTGGGGCCTCACGAGGGCCTTGCGGATTAGGGTGAGGTGGTGACGCAGTGAGTGCTGTGGCAGAGTTCCAACCTCTCCTTTGTTCCCACAGGCAAGTACGTGTACCAGCCCATGACGCCGGTGGAGCGGCTCCCCAGCACCGAGATTCCCGCGCAGCCTCAGGGACCCACAAACACCATCCAGATCTCGGTGTCCCTCACGGAACACTTTCTCAAGTTCGCGTCCGCCTTCCAGCCGCCCCTGCCCCCGGATTCCCCGAGGTACTGCATGATCTCAGACCTCTTCATCGACAACTATCAGGTCAAGTGCATCAACGGCAAGATGTGCTACGTGCAGAAGCAGCAGGCCCCGCACCCGCACAGAACGAGCCCCGAGCGGGGCTCCGCACACGATGCCTTAATTCCAAAAGAGAGCAATACGCCAAAAATGGATCACTGCTCGTCCCCCTCGAGCTCGGAGGACTCGGGGATCAACGCGATCGGGGCCCACTACGTGGAGTCGTGTGACGAGGACACGGAGGAAGGTGCGGAGCTCAGCTCCGAGGAAGATTACAGCCCCGAGAGCAGCTGGGAGCCGGACGAGTGCACCCTCCTGTCCCCGTCGCAGTCCGACCTGGAGGTCATCGAGACCATCGAGACCACCGTGTGAGCCCCAGGCCGCCTGGCCGCGTCCACGCTGGGCGTCTGCACTTCTGTCTGAGGACCCCTCTTTCCAACACATGTTTTCTAACCCCCCTCACAAGCGTAGCAGCTCCACGTCTGCTGAGTAGGCCTCTCTTGAAGTAGTCTTCTAAGACCTCCTTTGTACTCTCAGTGTCTTTCTTTTGTATCTAGACTTCCTTTCTATGTAGCATCTGACGTCATGAGTTGTGACCCAGCCTTAATTTCACTGGGACTTTGAACGGGATGTAACAAGGATATAGTCTCATGGATCAGACCGAGGGCCCTCCCAGAGTCTGGGAGACAGTGCGGTGTTTCCTACAGAACCAGGCCATCACGGCAAAACTCTTGGGGTTCCAGGTGGCGAGCTGACAGACAGTCCTGCCAGCCACACCTGGAGGCTGCCCCCAGGTGGGCCCTGGGACACCAGTGGCCCCTCCCCGCCTCCCGCCACCTGAACTGGTCAGGGACAGGGTGTCCAGGGTGGTCCAGTGTCCCTCAGCTGACTTCGGGAGGTCACTGGAGGCCAGCTCTGCCCCTGCTTATGACCACTGTCCACAACTCTCTAGGCCCCGGGGCTGAGCTAGGCTTTCACTGAGAAGAGATGACATCTTTAACTTCATGCTCTGACCAGCTAAGCACCTCCCCTCCATGGGCTGAATTGACGCAGCCTGGCCCCTGACATGAAGGAGCCCACAGCCTGGCAAGGGGGACACACACAGGTTTCAGGATCCAGGGCAGGCACGAGGGCAGGGCAGGTGGGCTGATGGGGGGCAGCGGGCTGTCAGGGGGAGGCGGTGCAGCATATTAACTGGGCTGTTAGGTGGGTTCCCTAGCATTCCCCGTACTTTTCTTAATTGCTCTTCAAATCTGGGGAAAACTTTTAAGAAGTAATATAGCTGTTATATTTAGGAGGCAGCCACATCTGAAGTTTTAAGAAAAAAAATAATAGTTTTAGTTAGCATGGAAATGCTAAAGAAAGCAGTCCTTTAGGGATTAGGAATGAATCTAATAGGTTTGATTAATTCTGCTTCATTTGATTGTATGAAGCATTAGAATGATTTAGGTGAGAAATGGATTAGAATTCCGTGTGATGCATGGATTTTTATGCAAATGTAAGGCAGTTGCAATGGTTCACTGCTAAGCCAGGAGAAAATATTCTGTGTAATATTCACTCCAGTAATAGTCATGGTCTGCTATACAGGCCCTCACTCACACACCAAATAGTGGATAATTCTGAGTTGATATTAGCTCTCTTTAGAAATATATTCCTAATCTCCATTTGCATTGAGTATTCTCATGTGAGTTAGTTACCTGCCATTTCTCCAAATCTCCTGTCTGCCAGGCATAGCCAAAAGTCCAGGAAATTGGAACTGTGGTCTAATGAAGCTAGAGAGAAGCCCTTGGTAGCCTAGCTGTCCCCGACCAGATAATGTTACAAGCGTTGCTTACTAGTTGAAGAGATAAGAGACTTGCGTGTCTTCCTTGATGCCTCTGTGTGGCTCTCTCCACACACTGTCCCTAAGGCGCTCTGGTGGCTTAGTGGTAAGGAGTTGTGCTGCCAACCCAGAGGCGTTCAGTTTGAATCCACCAGTTGCTCCATGAGAGAAAGCTGGACGATCTCCTATCCTGGGATTGGCTGCCTCTGAAAACCTGGAGGCTCGGCTGTGAGTCAGTTCTAACTCAGCTGGGACATAGCAATTACTACACACCACTCCAGGAAGGTCCTCCTGTCATGGTTGTGTGTGGAGTTCAGTGATTCACAAGGACTCTTTGTTAGGTGCCAAAAATGTCCATAGGGTTTAAAAGCCAGAGTATGCATTTTGCTTTGAAAGCAGTATTAGTAAAAACTCTCTATGGTAGATGAGAATGCAGCATAAAATGTCTCCTCACTGACATTTAAAAGATCAACCAGTGTAACCAGAAGGGGGTTAGAGGAGTTCCAGATTGGGCAGGTGGAGGCTGGCGGGCCGAGGGGCTCTGCTGGCATGGAGAGGTGTCTGTGGACGTTATGGTCACACACTCATAGCTGCTGGGACAGTGACACCAGGGCTCTGCCATGTCCCCCCGAGGGTGAGCTCACTGAACCCCGGGGTGGGCATACAGAGGGCTTTCTTTCTACTTGCCCCTTCTGTTTTCTACTAGAGGCCCAAATTCTTACCTGTCAAATAAAATGGGAATCACCCACCCCCACCCTGCAGCCCTGAGCTCGTGGTCCCAGGACCGTGAGTGTTTCAGCTGAGCCCTCTATCTGTACTATCTGCCACTTTTGCCTCGGCTCCAGTTTTTAAACTCCTGAACTGCCACTTCAGATTAGCCACACTTTTAATGGAAATTTTGGATTTAATAATGGTTAATACCACTTTAAATATTTGCACAATCTCTTTGTAATTAGAAGCTCCCTAAGCTGCACTTACTACCGTATGTTTTGTAGAACTGGCAGCGTCCCATTGGATTCTGAATATCAGATGCACCTGGATCTCAAAACAGCCTTTCCTCAATAAGCACAAGCAGGAATTCATTTTTCGTCCTAGCACTTTTAAACATTAATAATCCTCTAAAGATCACAGATGATTGAACCAGGACGGGTTCTTCATGCCTGCATTCCTGAAAAGATAAGAATATAAGCGTGTAGTTGCAACTTAAATTCTAGGCTCCTTTTTGTTCTATATTATATGAAAATATTTCTCTGTAATCCTGATACTATATTGCTAATTTGTATAAACATATTTATAGGCACTTTAGAAAATGTGTAGACTACAACATGTATTCTAGACGTCAAACACAGACATATTAAGTAGCCTTTTGATGAATAATTATACATTGAGAGATATTAAAGCTTTATAATTCGGGCTTGGTCATCTCCTCATGTGGAGACATGGGTGGGCTGTGGATGGATGGAAGGGACATGCTTGGAAATACGGCACAGCCCCACTTTTCGAAAGTTACTGTAAAAGCTATTAGGTATGGGACCCAGAACAAAGGCTGTGTCAGCTTTCGCTCGCTTCACTAACCAAGATTTATTTTGGAATTTTTAGGAGTTTCAAGTATGTGTATAACTTTTCTGAGGAATGACAATGCCAATAAAATACTTTTCATGGTTAGTAGCTATTTGGTACATAGGGGAAAAAGGAAGGCTTTAAAGATCAAATCTAGCTTTTATTTGTTTTATTTTTAACTTTGAAATGTCAAGATTTAAAATTTGAGAAAAATCCCAAAGACAATAGTTGCTTTCCTAGAAAAGAAAGACAGTGGTTCATTTGTGTTTCAAAACAAAACAAACAATACAGTTGTTTTCCTGAAGTACTTTGATTCAATTAAGGATTTAGGTTTTTTTCCTCTGGAGTGGAGGCTTTGTTTACTAACCTCCACTTCTGGCCTTTTTAAAAAATATAAAATATTCTTTTGCAACTGATCATAGCAAGCTCTTCTCAAACAAATTTAATTCTCTCCTCGGGTAACAGGATGCAGCCAGATAACTTAGGAAGCTGTCAAAACACCAAGACAGGTATGGTAGTGTAACAGGCGAGAGAGAAAAGCACAAGTTAAAGGAAATAGTATTTAAACAGCCAACTCTTGATTATTCCTGCATCCTGTTTATAAATTTGCATCGGCATGCTTTGGAGTTTTACATGAGGAGAACAAAGTTTTAACCGTTTTGTTCCCCACTCCCTCCCCCAGAGGAGGCGTGAGCCAGCATGAAGGAAGCCGGCTGTAGTTGAAGCTTCTACAGTAAAAGCGGAATGAGAGGGGATGGCGTCTCCTCTCAGGCCCAGGTATCCGGGGAAGCTGAGTGGGGCCCACTCATTTCACCCATGCTGGGAACTCCAGGAATATCGGTATTTCTCACGTCCAAACACAAATACACTCCTCACAATTAAATTTTCAACTTACTCCCATTTAGAAATGCTATCTATGTGTCACTGCTCTCTTTGGTTACTATGGATAACGGAGAGTTGAGTGAATAAGAAAAAGGGCCCTGTTTCCGTTTGTGCTAAATTCCTTGTTCTGTTAAAATCGGCACAGTGTTCTCTCAATAGCCTGATCATGTCTGAAAGCTGATCATCTGGAGATGGTTTTAATATGAGCTTCCACGCCATTATTGTGTTTGTATACACTTTTTAAAGCTGTTCATACCTTGCAATATTCTTCACTTACTTACTGTGCTATTTTTTAAAACCTGTCTATTTTAAAGTTTTAAGCACAATGTTGACTCTTCTGTAATTTCCTAAGATTCTATTCTGTTTTCCTACAGACAGTTCAACTTTGTTTTGTGTATAATACTTTAGGAAAATACCTTGTAAAAATAAAGGTGATTTTTTTCTTTTGTACCAGCACAAATCTGGTCTTTTGAAATGTGGAGTATTTCTTCCCCCACAGAAGATTAAATAACAATGTAATGTTGTTGTTCTTAAATGCCATAGAGTAGAGTCGTAGACAGCCCATAGCGACCCTATGAATCCAAGTCTTGAATGCAAAACTTTCATCTTTTCTTCAAGTTCATAGAGTTTCCAAAGGCAAACTTTTTTGGAAATGAACTGGAAAAAAAAGGAGAAACAGTTCTTGAAAAATGTGAAACATTTTTATTAGGTTTTCTTTGTGTTTTGCAAATAGGTAATTTAGATTCATTATCTGGTGGCTTAGTGGTAAAGAGTTGTTCTCTCAACCCAAAGGCATAGGTTCGAATCTACCAGCTGCACTGAAGGAAAAAGATGGTCCATCTCCTCTGATGCCATTTACATCTTCTGAAAACCTACTGGAGGGTCAGGTATGCATCAGTTCCAATTTAGAACCATGGTTATATGCTATGGTGGTGGTGGTGATTCCATTGAGTTGAATCCCTGCAACTCACAGTGACTCTGTATACAGTAGCTCTGAAGCCTGCTTTATCCTGACCCAGTCTCACTGACTCTGATACACCGACTCCCATTACCCCAGTTACTGTGAATTCATCTCCTCAGGGTCTTCCTCTCCTGTGCTGTCCCTCAGT